TGGTTCTGGGTCAGATGCCAGAATTGAAGGTGCGTTTGGGTGCAGGTGCATTTCATCTGGTCCTGGTTTGGAGAGGTGCGGCTCACAGCCACTTCCTGGCTGGGTTCCCTTCTGTCCCAGACATCTGAGGAGTCCCTTGGCCTCAGCCTGAGTGTCAGAGGGGTAGTTCTGCTAACCTCTGTGTTTTGTTCACAGGAGCAACCAGGGTTTTATGCACATGAAACTGGCCAAAACCAAAGAGAAATACATTCTGGGTCAGAACAGCCCTCCATTCGACAGTGTCCCGGAAGTCATCCACTACTACACCACCAGAAAGCTGCCCATCAAAGGGGCCGAGCACTTGTCCCTCCTCTACCCCGTGGCTGTGAGGACCCTGTGAACGAACCAGACCTGCCCTGCTCTGTGACAGAGCCTGAGACTTGGAGGCACCCAAGGGCCCCCCAACCAACCAGCCTGGCAACTGTTGCTGGCTGTGTCATTTGTGTTGTGTGTATGGTACTAGCACACCACTGCATGTCTCTAGAATGCTGTTGCCACTTACGGGGGCTGGAGAAGGCCTGGATAAAGACAGAGGGGTGGCCAACATACCACCCCAGCCCCCACCCCCAACCCCTTCCTTGAGTTTCTGTGAATTAAAATATTTGCAAATCCATAGAGATGCCTTCCAGGATGAACAAAGGCAGAGCAGCTCCGAGGGGCGGGGTAGGGTGGGGCGGGAACTCCCTGGCTGACATCTCTTTGTTCTCCAGCTGTCTCGAATTCACACCTGTGTAGGGGGCAAAGTTTTCCCACAGGGCCCTCCTCCCCTCCCCACCGGTGCTGGGAGCCCCAGAGCCCCAAATGAGAGCCCCACTGATGCTGGGAGCTTTCAGAGCCCTGGAGGCCCCAGGGTTCCCGCCTCTGCTGGTGTGTGTGTGTGTGTGTGTGTGTGTGTGAATGTGTGCGAATGTGTGTGTGAGTACAGATGTGAGGAGGTGATCACACACAGATGGGTAAGCCCGCTGATCTACTTGTAGTTACTCAGTGTAATCATTAGGTGATCTTCAAGGAATCATTGTGCAGTCAAAAAGAGGATTCAATTATTTATGAATAGGGTGTGTAAATAAAATAGTCATTTAATATATAGTCTTATCCTTGTTTTATATACTGCAGAGGGTCTCTGAGGGGCAGTGCTTGTCTGTTGGTTTCATTCCCAGAGCAGGGTGTGTCTCCTCTGGGCTTGCTGTTGTGGCGGGCCCCAGGGTGGGGAGGGAGGCCGAGGCCCCAGCTCCAGCCCTCAGTGCTCTGGCAACTGGGCTGAGGCAGTCGGTAGCACTCTGGGTGTCAACCCAGAGCTCACAGTTCAGGCTCCAGCAGCAGTCATAGTCAGGAACTTCAGGTGTTGATGCAACAACTGGGCTTTCCCTCCGACAGTAGGACATTGGTGTTGACGCCCTCCCCCCCACCCCCAGGGCACAGTACCCAGCTGGCTACAAAGGGCTGTCTCCCCACTATCTGTCAGCACCACCTGGGAGGTATTTAACGTGTAGGGAAAGGGAGACAGAGAGGAAATGTGATTTGCCAAGGCCACACAGCTCACTAGCAGCAGAGTGAGTGGCACCAAAGCTAGTGCTCTTTAGTTGGCTCTGCATGGCCTTGCTGTCAACCCTGCCATGGAGGAGGCAGCATCCTGACCTCCCAGGGACATGGAGCCCTTGGTGGTCCACACTGCCTCCACACATGAGCGTATGCACGCACACACACATACACGACCTCTCTCTTGCTTGCCACTGTCCTGGACAGCAGCAGGGATTCCTCCCACACAGGCCGGGTAGCCCCAGTGAGGCTGTGAGTTTCTCAGCTCTCCTGCTTTTCCCACCCACCCAGCAGCATGAAGGTGTGGCCGCCCTCTCCTCAATGAGATACAAGGGTTCCAGAGCCTTCGCCAGGCCCCAGCAGGTCTGAATGAACTGGAGGTTCCATGACTGTCATCCATGGTGCACCTGGGCAGAGCACAAGGGGCCAAGTTTGAACGTCATCAGCAGGTTCAGACATCAGTGCTGCACGTGTCTTTAGAGACTGGAGGTGGTTCAGCTCACTGTCCAGATGCAGAGACAGCAGCTCGGAGAAGGAGGACTCAACCATGGCCACATGTGAGCTGGGACAGAGCCCTGCCCCTTTAGGTGGCTACACGGACTTCAGCGGTTTGTTCAAAGCCTTGCCCTCAGCAACCCCTCGTCAGTGACCAGTCTGCCTCTTGAGTCGACCTCTTGGGCCTTGTCAGTCAGTCCACGTGGCCCAGCCCTCATGAAGCCCATGCTGGCTGTGGCCAGGGTCTAGATTCTAACGAAGCCAGTCCTTTATTTGCCTGTTTGGCGTTTCCTAAAACATCCCTCAATGAGGGAGGAAGGTGGGGATGCCCTGGAAGGATTCATGCTTTCCTTTGAGGGGGGAGGTAGCAGGTAAATAACAAGATGAGTGAGGAGTTGGCACTTGTCCAGAGAGAGAGGAGCCTGGATCCCAAGGCTTATCCTCAGAGGAGGCCCGTGAGCGGCTGAGGAAGTCGGGGGACAACCCTCTGGTGCAGGGGGGAGGGTAAGACCTCACATTGGCAAGTTCAGGTCTGGCCACTTCCTGAGGCCGCTGGGTGGAGCTGTACCTCACGGCCCTCCTCTGTAGACAGTCTCCCGGGACAGAACGCTCCTCAGGAAAGGCTCTGGGTGGGTCTCAGTGGAAACTGGCAGCTGTGCCCTCTGGCCCTGACTTGACCTCCTAGGGTATTCCTGGGACTCTCTCTCTGTCCCTGGCCTTCATCTTCCTGAAGTTTCCCTGGGAGGCCCAACCTCCTGCCCCACTCAGGGACAGAGGCCAGCAGAGGAGCCGGCTTACAGGAAGGGAGCTGCTGAAAAGAATTTTTTGCCCTTAATTTTATGAACCTCTCCCTCTTCTTCCTCTAATTGTGACCGTTTCCTCTGTCAGCCTGTATTCATGTTTTCTTGGACATCTAACAATTGAAACAGCTTTTCCCTTTCAGAAACACTCGCATTCAGGTTACTGGCATTGGTTTGGTTTTTGTTTTGGGTTTTTTTTTTTTCATCTGCTGCCAATTAGTGGGGGAAAAAATTGGGCTGGATTTCTTTGAGAGAAAAGAAAAGACCTGCCACACAACACTGCGCCCTCCGCACTTGCCTGAGAACCTCCAGCTCTAGCGGCTGTGTCTTTCTTTCTCTACCTTCTTTGCTGGCTTTATTATTGACCATAATGCCCTGGCCACTTGAGCAGCTCTGTCCTTGAGCGCCGAGGAGTCAAGGGCCCTTCTGGCAGCCCCCCAAACAGGATGGCCCCCACAGAAAAAAAGGAGGCTTTGTGGGGGAAGAGGGCCCAACTGCCTGCCAGTCCCATCCTGAAATGAGAAGAATGGCCCAGGCTGACACTGCCCTGGGGAGAGGCTCATGGCGCAGCCTTTGCGGGAAAGGGGTGTGATGGCTCCCAGCCTTCAGGAGGGCAGGCCCTGCCCTCTCGGGGCGGCTTTGGGCTGGGGCCCTTCTGTGGCCTGAGTGTGAGCTGGAGGGAAACCCGAAGCAGCTTCCCATAAGGTGTCCGGTCCACAAGGTGGAGCCCGAAGGCTCACTCTGCCACATTCCCAGAACCAGCGGCCCCCTTGGTAAGATTCTGAACACAAAGTTCCAGTAGCTCCCTAGACTCGCTCTCAGAAGTGGTGATGTCACGGACCAAGGGCCTGGCAAGGACTGACAGCCAGGGTTACCATTTGCTTTTGCAGCCATAGGGACAGTGCATGTAGAAACCCTGCCAGCAGGGCAGGCTGGCATTTGGCATTGGCCCACAGATACCATGAAGGGTCCTGGCTGAATCCAGCAGCTGTCCAGCCAACTGCCATGCCTGTCCCTTCACCGTTCCAGAATTAGTGACCGGTGAAGACCAAATCTGGCAAGCCGTCCAGAGGGAGTGCAGGGCCCACAGTCTTAGATGTGGGCACATGTCCTAGAACCCCGTGGGGACCTATTCACAGGCGACCTCAGGACACAGGTGGCCCTCCGCCATTCTGCCTCCCTCCTTGGACCTCTTTGAATCTCACTGGGAGCCTCAAACCAGCCACCTAACATTCTAATTCTATGTGACACACTGTGTAATAATGAATATTTAATGAGAAGCTCTTAATATACTACAAGAGTCTCGTTTACCTTTTGGTTTTTTTTTCTTTTTTTTTTGAGACAGAATCTTGTTCTGTTACCCAGGCTGGGGTGCAGTGGCATGATCTCCACTCACTGCAACTTCTTGCCTCCCAGGCTGCGGTGATCCTCTCACCTCAGCCTTCCATGTTGCTGAGACTACAGGCATGCACCACCATGCCCAGCTAATTTTTATTTTATTTTATTTTAAGATGGAGTCTCTGTCGCCCAGGCTGGAGTGCAGTGGTGCAATATCACCTCACTGCAACCTCTGCCTCCCAGGTTTAAGCAATTCACCTGCCCCAGCCTCCTGAGTAGCTGGGACTACTGGCATGCGCAAGCATGCCCAGCTAATTTTTGTATTTTTAGTAGAGACGGGGTTTCACCATGTTGGCCAGGATGGTCTTGATCTCTCGACCACATGATCCGCCCACCTCAGCCTCTCAAAGTGCTGGGATTACAGGTGTGAGCCACGGAGTCTGGCCTAATTTTTCTGTTTTTAGTAGAGTTGGGGTTTTGCCATGTTTGCCAAGCTGGTCTCAAACTCCTGGGCTCAAGGGATCCTCCTATCTTGGCCTCCCGAAATGCTGGGATTATAGGCAGGAGTCACTTTGCCCAGCCACACTGGTGTCTTGTTTAAATGCGCCTTGAGCATGCATGCTTATTTTGTTTGTTTAATGCAGCCATGTGCCCCAGGATTCTAGCTGAACTGCCTTTGGCTTGCAAAAGCTGAGCTCTTGCCATCAGCTTCCAAAGGTGGATTGTTACAGAAAAAAGCAACCTTTTTGCTTCCTGATTATGAAGAAGAGAGAGACCTAATGAGCTCAATGCAAATAAATAAATTTGTTTAGCAGACATCTGAATGCCTACTGGCTCTCAGGTCTGGTGGATACAGAGGTGAATGGGACTCAGCCCCTGCCCTCATGAAGTTTCCAGTGTGTAAAAACAGTCCAAGGAGCTGTGGGATCCCAAATGAGAGGGAATTGAATCTGCTTGCAGCAGTCATGGAAAGTTGGGCCTTGAGGGATAAGTAGGGGTTCAGCAGGGAGCCTGGTGGGGTGGATGGTCTGCACAGAGGTAACAGGTGATAGATTCATCAGGGCGATAGATTCATCAGGGCGAGTCCATCGGAGCCTGGTGTGGTGCAGCCTGCCTTGGTAGGAGGTGGCCAGACTCCTGGGATTCCAGGAACCTCATCCCGAGGAGGCAAAAGAACAGGGCAGGGCAGGGAGAGATTGTTCATCTTGTCATGCCTGAATTAACTGTTGGTCTCCCCAGTGACGGGGAGCTTCTGGCCTCCTATTTCCTAGGGGAGCTGAATCCTTAAGGAGAGAAAGGCAGGACATGAGTCTTAGCACGAAATCTGCCATTGTTTGCCACCATCACCATGATGTAATCATGATGACAGCATTATGCAGCCCCAGGTCCACCTGGGAGTTCTGCGCCCAAGCCCCTCCTCACCTATACCTAAGGGGGCACAGCATTCCCCAGCATGTTGGGGCCTGCTCTGGAGTGATTCCCTGACCGCCCCCTGCCTAGGAACTTACCTGCGACTCTCCTCCCTCCCTCCCTCCTCCTTTTCAAGAATGTGGCTGGCTGTCTTCCCTGCTGGCCCCCTTCCTCCCCCACTCCCCAGGACTGCTGGCCTTTGGTTCACCTCTCCTTCCCCCTGTCCTCCCATCCCAGTGTCCCAGAATCTACACCTCCGACTGCCAGGCTCCCTTACAACATTGACACCAACACCCCCGTGCCCCAACACACACACGTGCGTGCGTGTGCGCACACACACGCCTGGGGAACACCTGTGCTCGGGGAGGGCAAAGCCCTGGCTCGTGGTCCTGGTGACAGAAAACATTCCTGAGCTTGGTCAGGACCGAGGAGCCACAGGCAATGCCAGTGCTCTGCCACCAGGAATTTCCTGAAGGTAAGGAGAAGAGGTCACCTCTACACTGTTATGCGTGGTGGTGGTGGTGGTGGTGGTGGTGGGTGTTTCTGTTTCAGTTCAATTTAACACATATCGAGCATGAAACAGACAGGACAAACTGGTGACCAGGAGCAGGAGACTGAGCACAGTAAACTCCTTCCTTATCAGAGCCCACAGGAAGTGGTGGGCTGCCAGATGCTTTAATCCTGCACAGAGACCCAGCAGGGTGGGCCAGAAACAGAGGCCCAGCCAGGGACAGAGGCATGCTTAAGGCCACACAGCAAGTCCTTCTCCACATGCCTTGAGAGTGACCAGGTCCAAGGGTCACCTTGGCCAGTACAGCTCTGGGAAGACTAGGGTAGGGCTGGGGGATTCTTCTCAGAGTCGATGACCCATTTTTTTTCCTCACTGGCTCCCCACCTGATTGGGAGCATCCCAGGCCTGTAGTGACTGGTGTCATCTCTGGCTTGGGGGACAGTTTCCGAAGCCATGATCTGACCAAGGTGGTAGAAGTCAACCAGTGTGGCTCTAGTGCCCTCGTGTGGTTTTCTTTAGTATTGAAGCCAGTCCCAGGGAGCAGGAATGCAGCCTCCAAGTCACCCTGTCAGTTACAGAAGGAGAAACTGAGATCCAGAGAAGGAAGAGGCAGGTGTGTAAACAGATAAACGGCAGGCAGAGCAGAGTGATGGATGATGGGTGCTCCAGCAGAAGGGACAGCAGAAGTGGCATCTGAGCTGGACCTCACATGCAGGAAGTAGGGGCGTCCTAGGCAGAGGCAACGACTTCAGCAAGAGCTGGGAGATTCCCTCTGAATTCCGATCCAGCGCTTTTCCCACTGCATTCTACTCTAAAATTGCACCCATTCATGCCCACTGAAAGGGAGGTCAGGCTGAATCCGAAGGGCTCAGTACAGAACAATTTTATGCAATATTATTTCAAAGTTATTGACTTCCAATTATAAAATTAACGTGTACTGTGGCCTGGTGCAGTGGCTCACAGCTGTAATTCCAGCACTTTTGGAGGCCAAGACGAGCGGATCACTTGAGATCAGGAATTCAAGACCAGTCTGGCCAATGTGGCGAAACCCCATCTCTACTAAAAATACAAAAATTAGCCGACCATGGTGGTAGGCGCCTGTAATCCCAGCTACTCAGGAGGCTGAAGCAGGAGAATCACTTGACCCCAGGAGGTGGAGGTTGCAGTGAGCCATGATTATGATACTGTACTCCAGCCTGGGTGACAGATCAAGACTCCATCTCAAAGAGAAAAAAAAAAAAAAAAAGAAGTTTGTACTTATGGCTGGGCATGGTGGCCCACACCTATAATCCCAACTCTTTGGAAGGCTGAGGTGGGCAGATCACTTGAGGCCAGGAGTCTGAGACCAACCTGGCCAACATGGCAAAACCCCATCTCTACTAAAGATATAAAAATTAGCCGGGTGTGGTGACGGGCACTTGTAGTCTCAGCTACTTGGGATGCTAAGGCAGGAGAATCGCTTAAACCTGGGAGGCGGAGGTTGCAGTGAGCTGAGATTGGGCCACTGCATTCCATCCTGGGTGACAGAGCGAGACTCCATCTCGGAAAAAAAAAAAAAAAAGTTGTATCAGGGAAATTTGTATTTCAGGAAAATACAAAGAAGAAAATAAAAATTACCCTAAACTCAAAGAACAGTACATTAACGTTCTGAAGTATCTCCTCAATCTTTTTCTCTATGCATATATATAATTTGTTTTGAGACGGAATCTCACACTGTCACCCAAACTGGAGTGCAGTGATGTGATCTCAGCTCACTGCAACCTCTGCCTCCCAGGTTCAAATGATTCTCCTGCCTCAGCCCATGAGTAGATGGGATTACAGGTGCCCACCATCACCACACCTGGGTGATTTTTTGTATTTTTAGTAGAGATGGGGTTTCACTATGTTGGCCAGACTGGTCTCGAACACTTGACCTCGTGATCCACCCACCTCGGCCTCCCAAAGTGCTGGGATTACAGGCGTGAGCCACTACACCCAGCCCATATATAATTATTTCAAATAAAATTGGGCTCAAGCCATGTTTACATAGTTCTATAGCTTCCATCTTCCACTTAACATAGTATCATGTCCCTTTTCCTCTGTTATTAAATCTCCTACAATATGATCTTTTATAGCTGTATATTTGCTATCTTAACTTATTCAAATTTTTGTATAACCAGCTCTGTGGGGAATTGTTCAGATATCTTTATCCATATTTCTGTCTTCTTGTAAGGAGAAATTCATAGATGGGGCATTATGAGGTAAAAGGCTAGGTACATCTTCAAGACATTCTGTCCTCCAGAGATGTATCAGTTCCTCTTCCGCTGCTATGTCCGGGAGTGCCCCCACAGATAAGCTGTCCTATTATCTTTAAAGACTTTTTGCAACTTGGACTTTACCTAAAACATGAGACATACTATAAGCAGTTTTTCTTCATCAGGGACAGCCTGAGTTTAGGATACCCATGGGGTTGGACAAGAGACTGGCCTCTGCATGTAGGGTGAGCAGTTGTCCCTACAAGAGAAGCTTTCCAGGATGCAGGACTCTGAGGGCTAACAATAGGATGGTCTCAGCAAGCCAGAACAATTGCTCTGTTACCCTGGGGGCAAGCCCCTTAGCTCCCATTCAGTAGACCCTCCCTCTGCCCCTGTGAGAGAAAGAGCCAGGGTCAGGAGCTAGAGCTGGAGCTCAGGCTGGGAAACCTAGAGGAGCTCAGAAGAAGCCCTGCCCTTCTTGGGTCCAGGACACAGGTGAGCAGAGAAACAGCCATCGCCCAGCGGGTGGGGTGGGGGGCACAGTCTAATTTCATCCCTTTCCAGCTGTGCGACCTAGGCAAGTTGCAAAAGCTTCTGCCTCCTCTGTTGCAAAGTAACACAATGGCAGCAGCCTCACGGGATTACTGCAAAGGTTAAACGCAGTGTTGAATGACTGCCCTTAGCAGGGCTTAGTGTTGTCAACCTTCAGAGGTAATCTAGGTTGAGAACAAGGTGTGATGGCAGAGGCCAGTATAGCCACAGAATTTCAAAGGAAAGAGGGGCTAGGGTGCCAGAAAGGCTTCCTGTGGGGGGCAAGAAGTGGAATCTATTTTACAAATAAAAAATGCTCTAGCCCCACTGGACATCTCCTGAAGTGAGGATTACAGCTCTTAAGCTCCTCTTCCTCTACAGCTGGAGTCCCAGAACAGTGCTCACAGTCCTCTCCATCCCCTCTCTCAGCATCTTCTAACATCTCCTCTTTCTCTGTTATTTAAATTAATTCTAACACACTTTAGTTATTATCTAAATAATAAGCATCTGTTGTGTTTACCATTTAAATAATTACATTTATTTATGTCAATATTAAACCTATTTCTTGTCTTTATTGTTTAAATGTTAAATCTGTGCAGCAGTTTTATTCTTTAAATATTAAACATGTATCGTGTTCGTTATCTGTTGTGTGTCTCCACCCACTAGAACATAACCAGAATGCAGACTCCACACAAGCAGGGATCTCAGACAGCTCCTGGCATACAGTAGGTGCTCAGTAAGTATTTGTTAGCTGAAGTAACAATGATAAAAGATCCTACCTGTGGTGGGCTTACTCTACGTGCACCTCACATTGTACATGCATTGGTCTCCCACAGTGAGAGCCCTGCTGTGCAGATGAGAAACTGAAGTTCAGGCCTGGTGTGGCAGCTCATGTCTGTAATCCAAGCACTTTGGGAGACCAAGGAGGGAGTGGCACTTGAGTTCAGGAGTTTAAGACCAGCCTGGGGAACATGGCAAAAACCTGTCTCTACAAAAAAATACAAAAATTAGCCAGGTGTGATGGTGCACACCTGTAGTCCCAGCTGATTGGGAGGCTGAAGTGGGAAGATCACTTGAGCCAGGAGGTAGTGACTGCAGTGAGCCAAGATCTCGCCACTGCACTTCAGCTTGGGCAACACAGAGAGGCCCTGTCTCAAAATAAACAAACAGGCTGGGCATGGTTGGCTCAAGACTGTAATCCCAGCTCTTTGAGAGGCTAAGGCAGGCAGATCACTTGAGGTCGGCAGTTTAAGACCAGCCTGGCCAACGTGGTGAAACCCTCTCTCTACTAAAAGTACAAAAATTAGCCAGGCGTGGTAGTGGGTGCCTGTAATCCCAGCTACTTGAGAGGCTGAGGCAGGAGAATTGCTTGAACCCAGGAGGTAGAGGTTGCAGTGAGCCAAGATTGCGCCACTGCACTCCAGCCTGGGCAACATAATGAGACTCCATCTCAAAAAAGAAAAAGAAACTGAGGTTCAGAAAGGTGAAACGATGCTAGGAAACATAAAAGTTGGATTTAGTGGTGGAGGCTAGAGAAAGGTCACAGCCCAGAGGAAAGTGGGATCTAGAGAGAAATTGCATGGTGCCGTCTACCCCAGGAACAAGAGAGAAGTGTGGCATTTTGAGTCCCTGAGCACCACTGCCCCCTCCATACCTGAAGGAGAATGAGCTTCCATCACACTGGATCTGCCATCATGGGGAACCTCCCTCAGGGTCTTGGAGCATGGTCACCAGGAAGAACCCTCATCCTGTAGATGGAAATATTGAGGCTGGTGGGGGGCTCTCCAGTGACATCACTAGGAAGTGGTGGATCTAGGATGCAAACCCAAGTATTCTGACCTTGCAGAATTGAGTTCAGTGTTTCCCAACTTGCCTGACCATAAGGTTTATACGTGGTTTTTATAAAAATACAAATTCCTAGGACCTCTGCTTGGTGATTTTTATTCAGGAGGTCTTGGGTGAGCCCTGGGAGCCTATATTTTTCACAAGTTCTCCAGGGGTGTTTTATGATGAGGGAGCTCAGGAGATACTCCCCTGGGGTCAAGGCCAGGCTGCCCACTGCCCTACAGCTCACCATCCACACGGGCCTTTGAATAAGTGCCAGGAAAAAGGAAAGCATCAACTATCACACTGCACATCTGTGACTAGCCTCAGCCCCAAAAACAATAGGAGTGGCAGAGTCGCAGCCTCATCTCTTGCTAGGTACAGAACTCGGATCACGAGACTTCTTTGAGGTCACAAAGTATGTGAAAATCAGAGGAAATGACATATTATGTGGCTGCTTGGGAAATCCACAGAGTGTTGTGCAAATGCTTCTTGTTTCATTGACTTGGCCCTTGCTAGGTAAAAATGTGTTTGCATTTCACAAGTATGTGTCACTCAGACAACAAGTAAGGTGTCCCTGATCTTACCCAGAGGTCAGCAACCTTTCTGAGCTCTAAGAGTTGCCAGGGACATGAGGTTTGCCTGGTGGTGTGCTGGGAGAAAAAGCCGGGGTATAGAAATTATGTTAGGGAGAAAGAGCCATCCGGTGTCTCGTGTGTGTGTGTGTGTGTGTGTGTGTGTGTGTTTTGAGACAGAGTCTCTGTTGCCCAGGCTGGAGAGCAATCTCCGGAGTAGCTGAGATTATAGGCATGTGCCACCACACCTGGCTAATTTTCGTATTTTTAGTAGAGACAGGGTTTCACCATGTTGGTCTTCGAGCCCCTGACCTCAGGTGATCTGCCCACCTCGGCCTCCCAAAGTAGCTAGGATTATAAGCATGAGCCACCATGCCCAGCCGTCCTTTCTTATACACTTTTTTCCATCCCATGCTTTTTCTGGAACCCACCTTGTTTGAATCCTAGTTTTCCTTTACAGATTACCTTTTCCAAGTAGCCTTCCCTGATTACAGCTGGTACAACTTCCCTCTCCCATCAACATTCATAGCACTTGGTATATGCAGATCTCAACCAATGCAGATCATTTCTCCTTAGGACTGTTTCCCCTCTGGGCTGCAGGCTCATTCACTCACGCATTCCTGAGCCCTGCAGGACCCTGTGTTTCAAACCACAGGTCACTATTATGGGTCGGGATGTCAATTTAAAGCTATTATTTCCCAAAATTGCCTGAGAGGAGTCAGCTAGGGCTAGTGTTAAATATATACAGGCCAACTGACCTCTCTCCTGGGAATTCTGATTTAGTCTGTCTTAGAACTGATGATATGTATGTTGGGTTTTTTTGAGATAGGGTCTAACTCTGTCTCTCAGGCTGGAGTGCAGTGGTATGATCACAGTTCACTGAAGCCTCAACCTCCCAGACTTAAGCAATTCTCCCACCTCAGCCTCCCAGGTAGCTGGGACTACAGATGTGCACCACCATGTCTGGCTAATTATTTTATTTTTTAAAGATAGGGTCTCACTGTGTTGCCCAGGCTAGTCTCAAACTCAAACTTCTACGACCTAGAATCTAAGTCAATGCTTTTCAATCTGTAATGTGAACATAGCATACCTGGTGAACTTGTTAAATACCAATCCTGGTTTACTCGGGCCAGAAATCTTCATTTCTAACAAACTTCTGAGTGACTCAATGCTGATGCCCTAAGTGTATGGCCCATAGGTAGTTTGGCCAAATTCAAGAGAGTCTTATCTTCAGGCACATTGGGGAAGCAAGAATTGAGCGCTGTTCTCAACCTCAGCACACCTGGGGAGCTTTTAAACTACACTAAGATTCAGGTCCCACTGCAAACCAATTAAATCAGAACCTCTGGGAGGAAGGGAGCGTGGGAGTTGTTTTGTTGTGTTGTTTTCAAAGCTTCTCAGATGATTCTAATGTGAAACAGGGCTAAGAATCACTGATTCAGTGGGTCCCCACCAGCATTAAAATAAATGAATGGGTAAATGGAAGAGAACAAACAATCCCACAAGCTTGTGGGGTAAATCCTGGGTCTCCTTTATATGTATAAATACAGATGCATGTGAGTTGCTGGATCAAAGCAGGTTTGGACATGAGTGAAGCAGAAAGGGAGAAGGTCCTGGAGTTCACAGACCAGCCATGGGGACAGACCACAAGAACAGAGGGTGGGAGCCAGGGAGGGTGGAGCTGACAGCACCAAGGGGCTCTGCAGCAGGAGGTAGTGAGGTCAGATGGGGTAGCAGTGACCAGAAGCCTCTGAACTGAGCCATGAAAGAGGAACAGGACATTGTCATGAAGCAAACAAGACCTTTTAGGCACAGAGGACAAAACATACGCAAGCATAGGGGCATGAAAAGAATACACAAGTTAAGGGAAGGGAACGACAAGTGGCTGGGTGGCCCTTTGCCATTTGGTACTGAGGGGTGTGAAGGGGAGTGGCAGAGACTGGCAATGATTGCAGGGGCCTCGAAAATATGAGCTGAAGAGAAAGGAAGATCTCTGACCCCTTGTTAGGGAATGACCTCAGGTGACCTTATCTGGGCAGCGCCACTCACAGTAGCTGAGACTCCACTGACAGTTTGTGTAAGGCTGTTTTCATGCGCCTAAGAGCCCATGAAGTCTGAGGGCACCAGACAACTTTATAGAAAGCATTTTTTGGGGGGAAGAGTGGAGGGTGATGAAGCAAAGATCCACTAGCAACATTCCTATGATCCTTTCCCCCAGGAACCCAGGTCCTCCCTTCCAACAGCTCTGCTCTCCACCTGCATTTTGTTTTGGCAAACATGTTCTAGGCACCCTTTGTGCCAAGCACTGAGTTGGAGAGCCAGGAAAAAGCCAGACAGCTCTGCCCTTGTGAGCTGGCAGTGAGAAAGATCACACCTTCATAAGTGACTACAACATAGGACAGGATGTCAGAAGCGCCCCCCCAAACTCTGTCATGGGAAGGCAGAGGCAAGAACAGTCAACCTTGCCTGAGATGATCAGGGAAGGCTTCTAGGAGGAAGAGGAGCCAAAAGGACCTTGAAGGGCTAACATATTTGGTGAAGAGCTTGTGTGACACTGGTGAAAGGGGGAAACTGGTTTAAGGAACACAGAATTTGCAAAACACTGAGACTGCATGTGGCTAAAACATAGAAGATAGTTGGGGTTGAGATGGACAGACTGGCAAAAGGGCCAGGAAAGGACAGTCCATGCACCAAGTTAAGGAGTTTGGATTTACTGGAGGAAGCAAGAGGGAACCATTGGAGATTTTTAAGCTGGGGGATGACATGATCACAGCTGGGTTAGAGGATATCTGGCAGCTGACATAGTGGCTGGAGGTATGGAATGCAGGAATAGGTGGATGACGACAGAAATGAAGTGCTAATAACTTTATGATGGATCCCGAATCCAAAAATAGAGGGTTTCATCCCCAACATTCATATGCCCAAGAAGAGCCAATTATGGGCCTGGGGATTTCTGACAAGGAACTGAGAGCTGGAGGAGCAGAAGCCGGTGCTGTGGCCTGCAGCATAAAAGCAGCAGACTGGCTCAGCTCCAGACTTGAGCGTTCCCGTTAACTTGGGATTTTCTGAGTCTGGTGTGCCCCAACTGTGTGTTTAATTTCAGTCTTTTCCTTCTTGTTCAGGTTTTACCGCAGGAGAATAACCTCTCCATTCTAATTTGAAATTAATTATTTATGTTTATGAACATGCTGGATGCCTGCCTGGTTTATTTATTTTTCGAATAATACATCTCAATAGGCATTCACACAAGACAAGGCAAACATAATTTTGAGGCAAAGGCCCTTTCCAACTATTGCCTGATTAATTGTCCTAAGCCATTGTGTAGCCTTGTCCTTATCGTTCGGAGTCCAAAATCTACCCCTCGCATACAGAGATGGCAGGTGCCTGCGTCTGACAGTCAAGATTCGCACCATCCAGCTCCACCACCTGACCCTTACAGTCTTATCTTCTGCTACTATGACTTTCTCCACTGGGCCAAATTCCAGTCACCTACCCTCCAAGGCCCAGTTCAAACGTCTACTCTGTGAAGCCATCTCTGGTTCTCTCTCAAGGGGGGGATCCCCTCATGCTTCTGAATTTCCAGACTTTTGTTTTGCTATCCTTCGCCAGACGCTAAGCTCCCCAGAACCTGGCACGCAGTAGGTTCCTCAACGCAGCATTTGCTGGAATGGGGAGCGTGGTCTCCAGCTTCCTGAGAGGCAGCTAAGCGCGGCAACCAAAGCGGGGCTCGGCAAAGACCAGACCCACTTCTGGAGTCAGAGTCTACAAAGTGCTCTCGGGGGAAGGAGACCCGCGGGGAACATCGCCCACCCGGAGCCGATCCCCCCAAGAACGCTTCACTCGGGCGGGGTTACTGTTTGGGCTGCCGAAAGCACAGGACACACACTTCACACGTCCACAAGCCTCCTGAAACGCCTCTGCCTCAAGGCCGTTCTTTCCGTTCCCTTTAACGCCTCCCATCTCTTGTACGCGTTCCAGTTTCCAACCCGGAGTCGGAACCGTCATTTCCAAAGACCCCTACAACAGCTCAGAGACGCATACAAGGCACGGGTTACTTTTCAGACGGGGCATTCACACAATACAGGGCAAACGTAATTTTGAGGCAAAGGCCCTTTTCAACTGGAATTGGGGCTCAGGGTCCAGCGACTCGTCCAAGGTCACTTTCAAGAAGTATGAGGACTATGACTTTGACCCAAGCCCTCTAACTCCCCGGCAGCGCTTCTCCCAAGACCCCCGCAGGTTGTCTGAGCTTCAAAGCAAAAAGTTTAAAAGTGATCCGTACGTCCCAAAGCACGCACAAAGCGTTCTTCTGTAAACCGCGGCATGGGTCACTGATAAAAGATTGCTCTAAAGGTTTGAAGACACCCAACAATGCTCCACAGAGGGGCCAGGACAGCACTTTCGAGTTTTCTGCAAAGTCGCTCGTGCCCCGAAAACCGACAATGCCCCTAAACCCGCCAATACCCAGACGCCCCCTGCAGGCAGCGCGCTACAGAAAGCGTTGGCTGTTTCTGGCACGCTGAGGCCACCGTACGGCATCAAGAGTGAAGCAACCCGGCTAGCGCAGCCTCGCAGCCTGACAGGTGTGATGCGGGAGCCCTCTACCTGCCCCGCCGCGGCGGCCGGCGGCCCGAAGAAGTAGGCTGGCGACATCTGGCGGGCCGCGGGTCGCGGGCCGAGGGAGAGGTGGCGGGGCAGTGTCTCCCTCACGTGATCCTAACGGCGCCGAGTGCGTCGCAGTGCGCCCCCGCCCGGGGGTCGATCACGGTCTGCGCCTGCGCGGGCCCCGGTTCGCTCGCCGTCCTCCGGGACGCCGGCGGCGATGGGTGAGTGAGGGGCGGGCGTGGGGAAGCATCCGGCCTCCCTCTTATGTGGTTGCAGGGAGGGGAAATGCGCCGAAGGGCCCATCCTAGCAGCCGGCCGCCCTGCGGGCCCACCCCTGTTTTCTGCGCGCCGGCTGCCCTGGCCCGGCCACTGTGGGCCCCGCCCAGGCGGCGCGCGCGGAATCACTTCTGAGCCTCCTCGGCTCCCGGCTCTCCCGCCTACCGCGAGAGAGTGTTTGTCCGGCTTCTGGGCGACCTTTCGCGCGAAGGAGGCCGTGCCTTCACACGGGTGCGTCTTGGGCTGGGGAGGCACCTCCCTGGTGCGCCGTAACCGCAGGGGCGGGGAGGAGCCGGGCTCTGCCTGCGCCTGGGGGAGAGCGGGGCTGGCACCGCACGGGGGCCCCTGCCTCCCGGGAGATTGGGATTTCGGTCTCCTCCCTCTGGACCCCTGACTGTGGAGTGTCAGAGACGGAAAACGACTTAGTGATCTTGTTCAACCCCCTCCCCGCTTTTCACAGGTTGGGGAAGTGGACGCCTGGAGAACGGTAAGTTCAGCTACGTAGCCTGGCAGTGCTTGTTCTGCGACACCATGTTGCATCGCGTTGTAGGAAGCTCACTTGTATAAGGATTTTCGGGGACGGTGGTGGTGGTGGTGGTGTTAGTCTCCATCCGTTATTTGGTGTTAAGTTTAGCTAGATGAAATATGTGAGCACCTCAACTTTCTGCATAATCTTTGCTTTGCACCTCACAGGCCTACCTGGCTGATCATAATTCCCACCCTCTGTTTCTACTCATAATCTGTGAAACAGAAGCCCTTGAAATGTATAGTGACCTTGCCATTTTGAGCCTCCTCTGCCCGTGCTTTGAAAGGATTCCGTAGGATCAAAAGGTGCTAGGACTCTTGAGGTCCCATAGTGGTTCAGAGCACAGGATATCGCTTTGCAACTGGAATCGCCCTTAGCGCATCTCAGGAGAAAATAAATTAGGAGTTGACTCATCTGATCTCTCGTTCGTTAGATGAAAGCAAACACAGATTAGTGTATTTTAAAATCAGATATTGCTTTGTCTTTATAGTGGCAAGATAGTTTCATAACTAGGACTAGACCCGGGCTGATCTTGTTCTGAATGCTGACTCAGACCTGCTGACTAGTGGAAATTCATATCCTTTGAGAATTGGAATCACCCTCTCCCCAGTTTTTGCAGAGACCTTTGTGCTGGGGTCATATCTGGATCATGCTTATCCATGTAGGCTGTAAATTAAGGTTTTAGATTTTACGCTATTTTCTCAGTCACAGAAGCTTGACACTTGTAGTTGCTTGAAAGTGAAGTTCATTAACTTTGCTTCCTTGTGATGCGATAGATTGTTTTACATTGCAAACAAGTGTAAAGTTATGGTAAATAAATTTTGCAATAAATTGCAAAGAATTATCCACGTTAATGAATAAAAATATAAAGATCAGTTTAGCAAAGAAATTTAACCATGTTCACAGTATAGGTAAACATGCAAAATTCTAAACTCCATTACCAAAGAATGCTGTACACATTATCCTTCTGTTGCTAAATTAAGAATCTGTTCACACCATCCTGGTCTGTAGGATTAAACTAGAGAAAAAGCTTAAAATCTGTGAAGTCCGGGAGGGTTTCATAACATTTTTTTCCCCCATCTAGGCCTAGTTTTTAAATCTGAGAATCTCAATTTATAGTAATGTTTTTAAAATAGTTTGATACGGTGGCCAGTAAATGGTTAACTTCTGTTAGCTGTAGTTTTCTGCTTGTGTAGTAATAGTCCCCATTCTCACACAGAGTCATAAAGTCACCTTTATTTGCAAAACTTCAAAAAGTAATACAAGTACTATTCCAGGAAAAAAAGAGAACGTGGGCAAAATTTTTATTGTTGTTCAAGTTCACAAATAACTTGGCTTGTACCATCAAGGAGCATATGTAAACAACTTGTAGGTGACTTTAGAATTAAAAATATTTTGTGTGCTCAATATGTAAAATGGTTGTGACATTCATAAATTGTCACAATATCATGTAATAAGTACATTAATCTGGATATTTGTGTTGATTTAACATTGTTCAGTTCTGAAACTGAAGAAGTACAAAGCATTACATAGGTACATAGGTATCAAGCATTTTTGTACTAAGTTTTAATACTTAAAATATTGATTAATCTTAGTTTGTAAGTGTACTACTAAGAGTTTTTAACTCATACCTATCAGCTGAAATAGTAAAAAGTAAGGATATAGTAGACCAATAATCATCAAACTTAATAGCCTGACAAACTCCAGTGTCTAGAATATATTTTAAAGTTAATCATATTAAGCTCCAAACCTCAGTACATTAAGAAAGGGAGAGAAGAGAGGGAATGGATGATATTCTGGAACCTTTTTTTTTCTTTTAATCCTATTTTTGTTGTGAATAGCAACCCAAAACTGACTTACTGAAGATTTTGGGACACTTAGAAGCAAGAAGAGTTGAGATGAAATGCTAACTCTCTTAAGTAGTAGTAAGGGTTTTGCTCAAAGGAAAGTACATAGCCTTAAACAGTCAGGTTAAGAAACAACGAATAGGCTTGTGTGGTGGCTCACACCTGTAATCCTAGCACTTTTGGAGGCCAAGCCTGGTGGATCACCTTAGGTCAGGAGTTCAAGACCAGCCTGAACAACACAGAGAAACCCCATCTCTACTAAAAATACAAAATTAGCTGGGTGTGGTGGCACATGCCTGTAATCCCAGCTACTCAGGACGCTGAGGCAGTAGAATTGCTTGAACTCGGGAGGTGGAGGTTGCAGTGAGCTGAGATCGAGCCACTGTACTCCAGCCTGGGTGACAGAGATCACACCACTGCATTCCAACCTGGGTGACAGAACAAGATTCCGTCTCAAAAAAAAAAAAAAAAAAAGTAAAATTGATAATTCACAAGCTGCTTCTTTGCTAGGAGAGGGAAGGTTATAAATTAGATAAACTGATAACCCTACTCAAAAAGGAAACGTAAGAACACAGGCTAGAAATAATTTTTTAAAACAGCAAGTATTGGATGGGGGCAGTAGCTTGTAATCCCAGCACTTTGGGAAGCCAAGGCAGGTGGATCACTTGAGTCCAGAAGTTCATGACCAGCCTAGGCAACATAGTGAAGCCCTCTCTGCACTAAAAAAAAATGCTTTTTAAAAGTTAGCCAACCATGGTGTCATGTGCCTGTGGTCCTAACTACTCAGGAGACTGAGGCCCAGGCTGCAATGAGCCATGATCGTACCACCGTACTCCAGTCTGGGTAACAGCAAGACCCTGTCTTTTTTGTTGTTGATGTTGAGACAGAGTCTCACTCTGTCACCCAGGCTGGAGTGCAGTGGCATGATCAAGGCTCACTCCAACCTCCGCCTCCTGGGTTCAAGCAATTCTCCTGCCTCAGTCTCCCAAGTATCTGAGACTACAGGCATGCGCCAGCATGCCCGACTAATGTTTTGTATTTTTAGTGGAGATAGGGTTTCACCGTGTTAGCCAGCATGATTTCAACCTCCTCACCTCATGATCTGCCCACCTCAGCCTTGCAGAGTGCATATTACAGGCGTGTGCCACCGCGCCCTGTCTCTTGAAATAAAAATAGGCTACACGTAGTAGCTCATGCCTGTAATCCCAACATGTTGGGAGGCCAAGGCGGGAGGAACACTTGAGCCCAGGAGTTTGAGACCACCCTGGACAACATAGTGAGAGCCTGTCTCTACAAAAAAAAAAAAAAAAATAAAAAAAGCGCCAGCATGCCCGACT